ATAGTATAGAATATATTTTTTAATATATAAATATAAATTTTATAAATATTTCTGATGCTAAATTACATTTTTATATATTTATAATTAATATTAAAATTAATTGTAATTTAAAAATAATTATAAAGAAATTTTTTTTCTCTTTTATAATAATTCTAATATTTTTTTATTAATAATAAAAAGTTTTATGATTATTATCTTAAAAGATAAAAAAAAGTTATATTAATTATTAATATAATGTATTTAAAAATAATATTCTAAAATAAATTATTTAAAATATCTGTTTATTTTATATAAATGATAAAATTATATAGAATTAAAATTTTATATTATAAAATAATGAATATTTTACTTGATTTTATTTATAGTAAATAAAAGCATTGCTAGAAAAACAGGACTCTGAAAATTTTTTAATAAAATTTTAATTTTTATTACATTTAAATTTTTGATATTATTAGATTAAAATGCTATAAAAATTAATTTTATTAAAAAATTCTTAGAGTCCTATTTTCCTAATAATCCTTCCAAATTTTTAAATATATTTTCATTTTAAATTATTAATTCTAAGAAAGTTTAGTATATTTAAGAATATAAAAAAGTAATAAAATATTTAATTTAAAAATTAAAATAAAGTTATAAGAAATATATTTTTAAATAATAAAAATTTTATTCAAATTTAATCATAATCTTTAATCAATTATATGCAAATTTTATTATAATAACTTTTAGCATTTTTAATTTTAATTAGAATATATTATAAATATATTATTTTTAAATAAAATTTTATTTTTAATAATTATATTATTAAATATATAGTTACATCTTTTATATAATCATATCATCTATTATAAGTATACCTTTCATAAAAACCAACCAGTTCCTATTAATATTATATAAAAATTTCTTTATAATCATAATGTTTTTATAGTCACATCCAGTGTTGAACATTTATCTAATTGGACATATAAACTTGTATATGTCTAATTGGACATCATATATGTCCAAATCCAACACTGGTCACATCCCTTAGAATCAATACTTAGTAATGCTATAAAAAAATCCTTTATAAAGTTTTTTAAATATAAAAATCTTGCAGATCATTATATAACTAATCTCACGTGAAATAAAACAACTTTATTTCAATCTGTTTTTGTTCTGCATGTGAAAATGAAAAATGTGGTATAAAAATAAAACGCCAAATTTAAATTCATCATGCGTTATTGCGCAATGTTATTGCCAGTTCAAGGTCCCAACTAATCACCTCTCAACAGCCAAAAACACAAAAAGCCTAAAATAAGATAAATTAAAAAAATGTAATGAAACATTACACTTGACAAAAATATTTTGGGCTGAAATATTTAAGCAAATGTTTATATCTATTTAAGGATTTCCCTCCCTTTTTTTTTTCAAAAAAAATTTTTCATTAAAAAATTCGATTGACCCTCATAACAAATTTTTAATCTTTTCTTTAATCACAAATCAAAAATGATAATGTCTTCATTAAAAGCTCAATCCCCTACTGATATCGTTGTCGAAGTTCAACCGTTCAGTATGAATCCTTTGGATAAGGATTCAAAATTTAAAATGATAATGAAGCAAAGCTTCGTTAAAAACGCTGATTTTTCAGCCTCCAGGTCCGAACACTGTGATCATTTCTCGCCAAATATTTGCTACGGCATTCAAATGATAAATTTGGAAATTTTTGGGGATATCTGATATCTCTGTAAATTGGTAAATATATGATAAACTTTAAATTCACTTTATTTTCCTTTTCAATAAGAAGAATTATTCAGACCCTTTAATTATAGGTTCTTGACGATTTTATATTGTCATTTAAAACGAAAGAAGATAATGACTCAGACATGGATTTATTTTGTGAGTAGCTCACGAATAATAATTAGTCATAGAAATATTATTAGGTTATAAATCTTATTTCTTCTTGAATAATCAATTTTAAAAATAACGATAAATTAAAGCGAATAAAACTTTTTAAAAATATTTATCCAAAAAAAAGGAAATGAATAAATTAGAATCGACATTTACTTAAATTTTTGTCGATATTGGATGTATTAGTTATTATTTATATTATATTAGACCTTTTTATTAAATTAGAGATCACTGTATATATTATTCATTCATTATCTTATATAAACCTTCTTCGTATCTTCATATATGATTTTTTCATTGAATAGTTATCCAATAAACTAGAACATCCCGATAAAGGATCAATACCTGATAATTCTGGTACGTTGTTATTAGTTAGAAATAAAGTGTTTAGATAAACATTTGATTTTAAAAAAGAAAAGAATATTTTTAATGCTTTAATTCGATGATTATTAAGCAATTTTTTGACTATCGGAGATTGGGGGCAAAATTGGTTTTCTTGGTAAATTGCGCATGATGATGATAAATTCAAAAAGCACAAAAACGAGTTTCCAAAAAAGATCCCATTTAACACACCAAATTCGAAGAGTTATACTACGCATGGTACAGCCTCCCAAGCCGGGCATTATTTTTTAGTCAAACTTGTTAATATGTGTGAAAGAATATTTATTTTTGAATTATCATGATATATACCAATTGTATATCATCGTGTTTTTTTTATTATTATTACATCGTTGTCGAGGTTTGTGTGAATTACCTAAAGTTATTTTTCTTTGTGTTGAATTTTTTGCAAAATTTGAAAATTCATTTCTTTCGTAATGTTTTAAAATAAAAAATACTTGTCATGCTATATTATTAATAATGTGTCATTTTAAATCGGATCATTTTTGTCAATGATCATCATTTGAGATCGACTTTGTATCACAAAAAAAGTATATAAAAGTCCCACTTTTTTTAATATCAATTTTTCATGAATAACTTATAATGTGTAGGTTTTTACTTTACAAAGGAAAATCTTCGATTCAATTAGCGCAAGTAAGACCTTTTAAAATAAAACTCGAATGTAAATTTCTTGTCTTTAATCTAACCGATTTATTTTTTTAATAGTTACTTACACGACCAGCTCATTCGATTATAAACCAATCATTTGATTGTAGACTTCGACTAGATACAAGACGCACGATTAATGGTATTTATATGCTACTTTCTAATATTTTTATTAATTGATATATTTATTTAATTTATTTTTACCGTAAAAATAGGTGACGGATTCGGCGTAGGTACAATATAAATATCGATTTGATTCCTTCATTTTTATTATACTAGAGCATTAACATATATTTTTTTAGGATGGTATGAGAATTCAGATCCCAAGATACCAAATGATGATACGCCTTGTATATTTACATCTGTAACTCCAGCATGGAATAATCAAAATTTATCAAGACTTGCGGAGAAAATTAAAAGCCCGTTGGTTTTTGCTCATGTAAGGGCTTCAACTTCCGGTGCTTTGTCTGAAACTAATTGTAGGTTTTTAAAGATAAAATTGATTAATCCTTCAAGAGAGTTTTTTTTTAAAAAAAATTTCCTTTCTTATATTAATAGGTCATCCATGGCAATATAATAGATTAATGTGGATGCATAATGGGAATATAGCAGAATTTCACAAGGTTTAACTAAAAAATATATTTTTTACTTTAAATTAAAGTCTTTTTATCATCACGAATTAAAAGATTTACATTTATATTAGATCAAAAGAATATTACAGCAATCATTAAGAGAAGAAATATTTTTATTTGTACAAGGAAACACGGATTCTGAATGGGCTTTTGCATTATTTCTAAATCATGTAAGATATTAATAAAAAAGTTCATTGTTTTAAATAACGGTCTTTTAAAATTGACCATAATTTTTATTTCAGTTGGACGATCCACAGAATGGAACATTTGATCATGAAACACTAAAGAATGCAATGTTAAAGACCATTGAACAATTAAATACGTGGGCTGATGAAGCCGGAATAACGGAGGTAGTTGAAACTTATAATAATATTATAGTATCATGGAAATTTAATAATGTTATTAATTAGGTTTATTTTATTTTTTTTGAAGACATCATTATTAAATTTTGCAGTGACAGATGGATGTTCTGTTGTGTGTACTAGGTATATTAATAGCAGGACTGAAGAGGCGGCTTCTTTATATTTTTCTTCAGGTAAGATAATTAAAGGATTCTAAATTACGGATTTTTTTTAATGATAACTCATCATTATTGTCATGATATAGGAACTAGTTTTATGGAATACAAACCTGGACATTATAGAATGGTATGTTTATATTTTCAGAACAAACTTGGTAATATTAAAACGAATACCAAATGATTTTTAATTTTATTCATTTACTGTAGATCAAAGCAGATAAACGTGAAGATATCGTATTGGTTGCTTCAGGTATTTCCAAATTCACATTTTTTTTTTTTTTTTTGATCTTTTGAAAATATCATAATTTGAATCACATAAATTATTTCGTGAAAATAGAACCACTCACATTTGAAAAGGCGGATTGGTTAACGATACCAACAAATACATGTTTAGTTATAACGCCAAAATTGAATGTATTATTATTTCCTATTAAAGATCGATTTCACAATGCCGAACGAACAAAAAGAAGAAAATTTCCCACTACACCCGCATCATAATAATATGTATTGCTCTATTGCATGTACCTTTTTGAAAATAACTTTACAATAATTTCACTTTCAAATTTAATAAATTTAATTAACAAATGCAGCATTATTAACGAAAATCGTAATTAATCCGCTTTTCTTTTCATTCGACGCACTTTTTAATAAAGCATAACTATGTAACGTATTATCGAAATCTAAAAAGCACAGTTAAAAATAATTTACGAGATTCAATGAATTTGCCTTTCGATAATAATGATATATACATATGCAAAATTATCAATAAATAAAATAAACTAATAAAATGTAAAAAATTATTTTATTGAACTGAAATAAATTTACAACATTTATACAATCCTATTTATTAATCATCAAAAAATTCAAAAAAATTAAATGTCTATTATAAAAAAGAATATGATAATGTTGATTCTTTTTATTTAGTACTTGCTTTTGTTATTGTTTCGGTCGTACCCTTGTCCGTATTTTTTGCCGTAGTTATTATAATTATTGTTGTCGTGGTCGTGGTCGTTTTGATGTCCATAGGTTCTCTTATATTTGACATCGTTTTTGCCTTTGTTATCATTCTTGGTTTTATAATAGGCATTATTTTTGTTATCATTTGTATTTTTATAGTCGCTCTTGTTATTCCTGACATTTTTATCTGTGTAATCTTTATCACCTTTGTTATCCCACCCTTTATTATTCCAACCTTTGTTATCCAAATCTTTATTATTCAAACCTTTGTTATCCCAACTTTTATTATTCAAATCTTTGTTATCCAAATCTTTATTATTCAAACCTTTGTTATCCCAACCTTTATTATTCAAACCTTTGTTATCCAAATCTTTATTATTCAAACCTTTGTTATCCCAACCTTTATTATTCAAACCTTTGTTATCCCAACCTTTATTATTTAAACCTTTGTTATCCAAATCTTTATTATTCAAACCTTTGTTATCCCACCCTTTATTATCCAAATTTTTATTATCTAAACCTTTGTAATCTTTCAAATCCTTGTTTGAATCGTCTTTCTTGTATGCTTCATCACGTTTTTCAAATACTTGAAAGAATTCAAAGGAAATAATATTTAGTTTAGGATTCAAAAAAAAAAAAGGAAAATTAATTTTTTATAAATCCTTTAATCACCTGGAATCGCGTTTACTACAGTCAATATGCAGATAACCGACAAAATTGTAAAAACCTTCATTTTTTTAACGTTTTCAATATAATGGATGATTATTACTAATATTTTTTTTTTTTTGCTTGATTCAAAGCGAGGTGAGGAACTTTTGATTGAAGAATTTCATGGTGTTTATATACTTGTTCGTTCGTTATTAATCCTTTTACGAATTCCTTGCACTTGATCGAAATTTTGTAAAAAATTGAGTGCGAATTGATCTACCCCAAAGATAGTATAGTAATGTTCATAGTAGAAAAAAAAAAATGAATCACTTTTATGAAAGGTACCAGGTTCATCGATAATAATGATTCATAGTAAACTGGTTAATTCTTATCATTCTCGAAATATGAAAAAAAATCTCATACCAAACAATTTAAGTAATAATTGGTTGGCATCTCAAACCCTAACATTTAATTAAGGATCTTGATAATTGGACATTAAAAACAAAATAATTCCATACTTAAAATAATAGTTTCTATCAAAATTTCCGTAAATTGACTAATTCATAAGCCAAATTTTTATTTGGCGACTCGATATTAAAATTTCTTGATAATACTAAACTTTTTTCATTATAAAAATCGACCGATTTGATGATATTTAGTTAGATGTAAGATCATCAATCGATTTTTTGATTGCTTTATTTTTAAGGTACTTATTTTTAGAATTACTATGAAATACCTAACAAGTAATGATAACTCATAGAAGACTTGGTCGTTATTCTTGGCGAAAGAAATGACGAAAAGAAACGTAGGAGAATTTTTTATTTATAAATAATCTAAAATTGTTTCACAAGTTATCCTGCTGATCTACTATTGATCGACCGCCGAATAATCTTTACATCATTCGGGCTTTTCTATAAAATTAAATATTAAAGGTTTTCTAAATACGGTTGTTGTGATTTTCCTTGTTTGATTGTTAAATCAATTGTTTAAATCATTGTTTCAAGTTATGTCACAACCGTCCGAAAAAAAAATTTTTTTACATTTTTTACAATTTTTTTTTTTTTTTTTTTTTTTTTTTTTTTTTTTACAAAAATGTTTCAAAGGGTTGATTCTTGTATGTCAATTTTTGTAATTATGTCTTCAGTGCATTCTATAGCAATGGGATACATTAAAATGTTTTCATAACTTGGAATTTGATCTGTATTATCACTGGGACTAATATTCAAGTCATTACTTGCATGCAAACTTCTTTCCTTATCTTTACTTGAATATGAACTAATTTCCCTATTGCTATTATTATCAACATAGGTCTTAATTGTATTATTAGTATTGCAATTAATGGTACTAGAACGAATGATCTCAACATTTGAAAGGTATCCAGTCACGTTGGTAATCTTCGCTTTAACATAAACTTTGACCTTGCTATATGAGGAGTGAAAAAAAAAACGGTTTGCATTAATATCGTCATTGTCATAAAAAACATATGATGCATAAAATATATTCATAGTAACACGTACTTGTATACTAGTATGGCATTGCAGATCAAAACGAAAACCGGATTTAGAATGTACCAAGCAGCAAAGTAGTTAATAGAGGAACTAGTATAGAAGATCGCCATCTGTCGGTATGAAATGCTTACGGCGATATTGGAAACGATGCTCATGACACAACCAATGGTCATAATTACAACCGGTATGTTGACATTCCTTGACGCTTTCTTCATGTTAATGATTTGTTGATTTTCCGCGTTTCCGAATTTTTGTTCGAGACTTTTAATGTGTTGATTAATGATCCTGTGTAACCTCAACCACGTGAAAACCAAGTAACATGTAAAGAGTAACGACCATACGACCCATAAGAACGTATTTAAAGAGAAATATCTATCCGCTTTCTCTATTTCCATATTTGTTCCCGCAATTCCGGTTAATACGGAGAGGGTGTTGAAAATTATGAACGAATACCCAATCATTCCAAATCCTAAAATGTCGAGCATACGTGGATTTGATAGTTCGTTTTTATATTTCGTGTGTATCGTGGTCGGTGTGGAATAAACTAAAATTTTACGTTGGTATCAATCACATTAAAAAAATTTTTTTTTTTTTTAAAAAAAAAAATAGTGTATCACATATTACTCACCAACGCTTATAGGGTAAAGCATGCTGATGGCAGATGAGAAAGTATGCATCGCGACAAATCCAACTATATCAAATCAAGAGAATTAAAAATTGATCTTTACTTTTTTCATTTGTACTTAAAATAGATCTACGATAAACTTACGTTCCGCGATCACCAGGTTTCTATATGAATCGGTTACCAGCATAATTAGATGAATGGTTTCAACTTTGAGATGCAAGGGGTTATTAATAGTTATTTTTATGCGTCAAATCACGTGTTTACTGTTTCGCTGTGAAGTACTTACAAAGGAGATAAGCAACGCAGTACAAATGAAACGTCTGAAAAGGTCGAAATCTCAAGATTCCTCTGTCGCGAGTCGCCGGAAGGGAGAATGACTGGTTTCTAACTTTGATATAATAATAAAGCATGCCGCAAGATAATGCCAAGGCTAACAAACAAAGTGGTATCAAGACCAACGTTGCCTTCTTGAATAAGCTTTCGAAGGGACAACCATAGAAATTCACTCGGAAATCACAAGCACATTTTTGTATTCCATCTATCTCTCTACAAATTACTGTGAAATTATTTATTAATTTTCCCATGTGACTTGATATCTAAATCTTTATGTGTGAAAATGGAGGAATGATCTAACATAGGATGAGGAGGTGAATAAAAGAAAAAAAAAGGAAAATGTAATGAGGATTGAATCAATCGTTGGGGTGAGCTATATATATTTTTTTAATTGAAGAAAAAAAAATGATGTTCGAACGACATTAATAAAATTGGCTCTAGCGTTAGATCCAATAACTATTCATGTTGTACGAGAGTTAAAAGGTGTTAGACCGAATGTGTATTTCAAAAACATATATATTCATATATTGAAAATCCGGAGATAAGTCCAAATTTTGAAAGGTGAAAGGTTTTTGACACGTTTTTAATTGGGTCCGGCATGCACGTGCAGAAATTCTTTTATATACCAAATGTATTTTGAAACTTTCATGAACAAAACAACTTTGATATTGGTCAACCATATATAAGTCTTGCCAAAGATCTTTAAGTTTTAGAATTTGTCCGAGATGAAAATAATGTGTTTTTCTTCCCTTTTGTTGTTGTATAAGTAAATTATTTCCCATTTCTTCCCATATTCTCCTCATTTTAATAGGTTGACTTATTTACAAATAATTGCGTGCATTATGACGATCGATTTAATATAAACAATAGATAAAAACTTGGAACTTTATTTCGAGTATTTCGAGTTTTTTTTTATATCAAATTACGTAGGGAAGGATACATCATTCAAATGTTTGCACAACGATATCGTCATCGCTTGAATGGATGTAATAACAAGCACAATAACTTATAATAATTGAAATTTTGTATCGTGTTATGTGATGATGTCATAGCGGTTAATCTTTATTCGGACCGTTTAAATAATTTAAAATATCCGGAAGTCATTCCGAATTTATTAACTAGGTTTAATGGATTTTCCTCATACCATTTTCAGATCTACATAATTAAATTGGGCCTTGAAATTTTTCCATCGAGATATTCGATTCATCTTGGCAACTTTGATTGCTTCATTCGCCAATTCGAGATGATAAATCGACTCGATTGGAAAATTAGCTTGTAATGCTAGCCAAGGTTTTTGGAATGCTGACCAACGCCATTTATTAATCATGGCTGTACTATTAATAAACCGTAATTAAAATAAAATTGAAATGCCGTTCAGATCTCCTTGCTCTTTCGTTCAAATTTAAGTTACAAGATCTTGATCCGAACATGACATGATTACCTCCCAAATCTTTAGATTCTTAAATTTAACAAATAAATCATTAGAATTTGAAAATGTGGTTTTATTCTTTTTGCATCAGTAAAAATTCTATTAATAATCACCGATGATAAATTTTTTGATCACAATATTAGGAACCAATCGATGAGTGCAATAGCGAAAGGAATTTGAATTAAAACATCTATTTTGTTCCCTAAAAATTTTTTACTCATCAGATCTTTTTCTCATGTCAATCTTTTTTTTCCAAATATTAAAATCAGTCCAATAAATTAACCTTTAAAAATATTAAGGAAGGTTATTATCGGTTGATAAGTTGTCTTAAAAAATTCGATCTTAATGTATGACTTAATTGGTGGATCCATAATAATTTTATTGATTAGAAGTGTTGGCATTTGACCATTGACGTTTGGACATGATCAAATGGCAAAAAAATTTTTAGACCCGCGGCCAAATGCCAACTAAATGCTAATACTTACTTACATGCCGATTTATGTAGTATTGACCATTATGACCATTATGTACATTTGGCACCAATCACTGATTTAAAGGTACCTCATTTGTGAAATGGTTTCAAAACTTCGTTTCACAATTTATTAAATGAGAGTCGTTTCTCGTTCTAACTTTTTGACTGAACATAATTAACTAAAAAAAAAAATATAATATTGATATATATTTTATTTAAACTTGAATAAAATCATTCACAAAAAATTGATATTTATATTCAAAAAGAGAGGAAAAAAAAAATTTGGTTTTCTGGATTTTATCCAGACTAATCAGACGGGATCGATTAAACTATATAGTTCTTTTTGTGACCATGTTATAAAGTATGAATCATGTAATTTCCAAACTTATATTCCTATTAATGGTTCACATAACATACAAATTTTCGACGCTTCTGTCGTCGTCATCATCATCACCACTACCATCAATAACAATCTCATTTTCACCGTCACTACCAACATTATTATCATCATTATCCCCACTTTCACTTCCCCCAAGAAAGTAGACATCTTCGTTCTCATTATAACTGAAGTAGCCGACTTCGTCATCGTCGTCGTCGTCTTCATCATAATCGTCATCATCATCGCCGCTTATGACTTTAAATTTTTTAATCACTTCTAATTTTAAATATTTTTCAATTACGTTCATATTTTCTTTTGTAAAATCCTCTAAATCACGAATCATGATAATAAAAGTGATTGGTTTTTTCGGCACACGGTACGACCAATTTTTGAAAAAATTATCCAGATCTATTGGAGATAAATTCGAATTTATTCCAAAATTCAATTTCAACTCGGAGAAAGTTTTGGGGGAATGCTTTGCGATGATCTCAAAAATCTGTTTCACCTCCAAATAACGATCATCAGACCTAATAAGGTGAATGCTTTGCAAATTTTGACAATTTTTCAAAATTGATAAAAGAGTTTCTCCTTCATCTTTTATAAAGATGGTACCTAATGATCTTAAATTTCGACAAAATTCTGATATAGCCAGATTTAACAAATTATGGCAGTAACAACCAAACTCCAAGACTTCTAATCCATAACCGTTGATCCGTAAGAATTTTATCATATACTCATATTTTGGAACATCTCTCTTAAATTTTAAATTCCTCAACTTTGAAAAAGTAATGGGTTGTAATGTATCCAAATGACCGCTATGATATTTCAGGATGAGCTCGTTCAAATTTAAGAATTTGTTGAGGATTGTAAACGGTTCGGTTATTTGAATAGTGTCAATTTCTAATTTTATTAAAGTTGATGATGAATGTTTTGTCAATAAGGGTATTAATACTTCCAAATTCTCACAATTTAGTAAGACTACTCTAAATTTCTTCAAATTTTTCTGAGATGATATCAGCTCCAATACTCCTTCTGAAATATTTGATTTAAGTTTGACGTCCATTGATCGTATGTTTTGACAAAATCTTGACATCTGCATTAAAAAATCTGAGCAAAGATCTGAACGATAGCTAATCTTCGTAAGGTCTTTTAAACAATTGGTTGCTTTAGGATAACTGGAAAAATCTATGCTTGGAATTTGCTTTAATCTTATGTTCAAATTTTTTAAAGTAGCTTGATTCAATAACATTACAAATATTTCAAGCATAATTAATTTACGTACACTTGAAGTGAAAAAGCCCGTGAACATTCCAATTTTATCATTAATGTCATCAAACGAAAAATATTTTACAAAAATCGCATAATTAAATAGTAAGGGTTTAGTTGGGGTTGTAACGTATACTGAGATCCTACGTAATTTTTCTATTGATTCATTAGGTAGACAAGCGACTAAGGTATCAAAGTTTTGAATGTTCTTCCACAGAATACGAACAGAAATTTTACACCAAATATGATTAACTAATAAGCATGAGAATAAAGTCATCCTATCATCCTCTATATGTTCAAGAATTTCATATAAAATGTCGATAGGAATTTGGGGGGTTATTTGAGACATTTCACTTTAATATATAATTATTTTTTTAAAGTGAATTATGTTTTCTCAAAAATGAAATATAGAAAGAAAATGGAGAAAAGTGGGAAAAAGAAAAATTTTTTTTTTTGGTCAAGGGAAGAAAAAAAGTAATTTTCAATTGATACAAAACATATATAATGATGTAACATTGATAATCATAATTTATTATAGGCGAAGTCGAATTGCGCCACGAAATTTTGAAATCAATAAGCCACATAATATGGCATGCAACTTAATTTGGAAATGTTTTTAGGTGCAAAAATAAAGATCATTAGAGATTTACTGCAAGTTAAAAGTATATATTTCTCTACACTAAAGGCGATTATCTTGAGCTTATCTTCACAAAACAAATGCTCAAAAAGATGAAACTGGAAATAACAAGTTATTGTTATACGTTTTACACAGCCACACCTTTGAGTCTTCTGATCCGTGCTATTGGATAACCCATGATCATGTTATGCATTTGGAAGTTAGAAGCACCATTGGATTGAAAATTCCCATCCATTTTTGTACTTTCACATGCTAAGTTTTAATAAAGTTTTTCGTTTTATACATATTATGTAATATAAATTTGACGCCAACTCTACTGATAAAAAGAATTCTTTGCTTTGTTGCATTCCAGAAATCACGCGGTTCATTATCAAGATATTACGCCATCTTAATCACATAAATCAACATTTTCCAATTCAGAAAGAGAACTTTTCCTTAGAAGAATCTCAACTACAAATTAACCACATATCGAGAACTTAAACCTTTATTAAAATCTATCTTTTCTTTGTAGTTTTTCCAATGGTTTAAAAAATATGGATAGGATTTCGATTTTATGCAAGCACAATCCTTATAATTTTTTTAATTATTCAATCCATGCCTCTTCATTAAAATGTTATATTCAAGTTGCCCTCCTCCAAGTAGAAACATGCGATTGAGATTAAAAAATTTTGAAGTAATTTTTAAATCGCCAGAATTAACGCTAAATTTTAAATAGTATAATAGACTTTCTACGGAGTTACTTTAATAAAATTTTCCGCCCAAATCAATTCGAACGTCCATCTGTTGTTTCTAACTTTCCCACATTCTGTATAACCTCCGCCACCGCCACCAGTGACGTCGCCACTTCCGAATGCACTTTTGGTGGAAAAATAAGTAAGGAGTAAAATTATTTATTAAAATTTAGTCTGCTTTTTGAAATTAGCATTTTATTTATATTAAAAAATAATTTTGTAGTAACTTGGTGATCAAAAATAAATAAATAAATAAATAAATAAATATTCAATTGTCCCTGAAGTTTTTTTTAAATAATTAAATAAAAAATAACGAGAAAATAAAATCGAATACCTTCATTAATAAACAACCACTGTCTCAATTTTTTTAAAAAAAATATTAAAAATATATATATATATATAAAAAACAAATTTCTGCTTTCATTTTTATTGGTGGGTTTATTTGTGCTAAGCTCTTTCGACCTTAAAGTTGCTCCTCTAAATGGACGACTTGACATCAAAAGAACGAGCCAAATTATGGAATTTAGATGATTTCAAGATCGTTGAAGATTTGTAATAAGGAAAGAGACGTATCCTTCAAAAGGTTTTATACACATTGACTAGATTAATATGATTATGGTGGGACTAAATGATATTTGCTTAATTTGGTCTTTCTTTATTTAATATCGATAGACGATTCTGTCAAATGCATCCTGTGATGTTTTTACATCATAATTCTTCATGTACTTTCTCCCCCACTTTTTTTTTATAATAATAATATAATAGAATAAATCTATATATATTCACATAAGTCAACAATTGATTTAAAAAAAAATTTATAAGAAACCGCCATTTTTTGACCTTGGTTTTTAAATTTTTTTTTACAACACAAAAAAAAATATTTTTTTCCTTTTGCTTCTTTTATAAGAGGAGGATGAATTAGTTGAAAATTTAGGTGATGAGTGTAGTGAGATGTCTGAAGAACACGTAACAATTAACGTATCGTCTCGTGTAAGAAAGAAAGTCAACTAAAATTTGGAAAATTGCGGAAAAGCTTTATTTATTGGATCTTATGAAAGTACATATAGATGAATATATGGAACGTCAATTCATGTTTAAGACGAATTCAGAGAAATCATTTTCACAATTTTCTTCGAGGAATATAGGTAAATTGTATAAATTAAGCAGTAAAATAATGAGAAAGATGTAATCGAACAGGATCGTGAATTATGGTCAAAAGTCGATGAAGTGAAGTCTTTACGTTAATTAAAAAGAATAGAATTAATGGTGCTAAAAAAGTTTCACCACCAAAGTCAAGAAAGAAGGTTCCCAAAACTCGCTTGTCTTTTGATCATAAGACGAGGTAATTTTTTTTTTTTTAAAAAATTATTTTTATATTTCATTGGCACTGTTTATTTATTTATTTATTTATTTTTAGAAAATCACCGATTTATGTCGATAAGGCAGAACAATTACTTTTCATGACGGATGATATTTTTAATCAATGATCGAAATATTTATTCAGATTTCATACACGTTTTTGGATTGTTTATTATTTTGCAGAATTATTAATGATTGAGATTATTTTAATTCACGAAGTTGTCATAACTTTGGAAGCAAATCCAAATTTTCAAGAGATTAAAATAATTAAAAGTAAAACAAGAGGAAGTACGGCATAATTATCTACATTCATTCATTCAAGGGTTTAGACAGAGACAAATTTTAAATCGGATTCAACCATACTAGTCGATCAATTGTATATGAGGATAACAATTGACGACAATCACGTGATCTGCGTCGACCAGATTCTCTATAATTACATATTTTTAATCAAGAATCATCTTATGAATTTGGATTGGGTGTTACCATTGATAAACAATCTAGTATTTGAATGGATGGCTTTTTATTTGTACCAAAAAGCGGACACGCGATTAGGAGTTTGTGTTATATGGCTTTTTAATATTTAAGCACACGGAGGGAATATGCTTTTGTATTGACATGTTACCTGTTATTTAAAATGTTGGTTCTTTTGACAATATAACATTGGCAATAATTTACTAGTAATCTTTTTCACACTTTCGAAGATTTCTTTTCCCGTTCCAACCGTTTAGAAGAAATCATATTTATGTGATTCGATATTAAATATTTCATATCATTATTTTATATCAACATCCTTCAGAATTATATTACTATATTAGTTTACGAGATGGTGTTGGTAAACTAAAACAGTGAGGGGAATTTATTCTTCCAATAGTATAAAATTTTGATTGGAAGCATCCGTTTCAAATGGTTTTATTAGAAAATTATGCTTTCCAAAGGTGTTTCCGCTAGTGCTTTCAATATTCAAGAGCGCATTACTGCACTAGGTGGTGTTGAGGATTTATCTAAGAAAATTAATCACATTTCTTGGATTTATACCATTTGATAAAAATTTATTTCTGAAATGTAGAAATTAGGTACGCAAATTTTATTCATTGCAATAGTTGTATTGTAGATGTTTTAATTTAGAATCATCTAAAGAAAATTAATGACATTCGGAGCTTGATAATAATGGAGCTGATTTGTTATAAGCAATAGTTGGGATTGGTTATATAGTGCTTTAGAAAGCTGTAAAAAGTCTTTAGTTCTTGGGTTTTTATATGGAGGAAGTGATTAGGTGTATAAATGGAAGCCGACCTACGATGTAACCAGTTATTTTATATAAGAAAAGAGATTATGTTTATTTATGAAAAAAGATTTTAAGAAGTTATAATCTGAAATTATAATGTATTATAAATATATTTAAATCACAAAAGTAAAAATGTAAAAAGCAGAAATTTAAACTGTAGAAATATTATAATGAAAAGAAATTTAACTTTGAATATTCGAAAGAATAGTAATTTATTAGAATCATATAATTAAATATTTATTATAATTAATTATACAAACTTTAAATAATACAAGTAAACTTTAAAAAGCAAAAATGTTATAATTATAAGTATTTTAATTTTTGATACTTGTAAAATAATTTCGATTAATTATATAGTAAATTTATTGTAAGCATTTAATTAAATTTAAAATATTAGTAATCTATTTATAGTAAAAAGTGATATAATTATTAGTTATATAGTTATATTATTATTTTTTTTTTATTTTCAGTACGTAGTACCTGGAAGGGCTTATATAGCCTGATAGCCTGATAAATCTTATGATTCACCCTATAGCCAACCCTCCCTTAGGTCTCCGCCGGTCTTTTCATGCCGCAGGGTTCATGGGATTATTATCACAAGATTTGCCCAAACAGTTTACAAACCTTTTAATACATTTAGTTAATTCAGTCTTATGATTATCTGATAAGAATATTTTTAATCTAAAAATTTATTAATTTTTTTTTGAATTTATACAAAATGTTAGCTTCACATTATAGTAAAGCTAAAATGAAAATTCTTAAATTCTTTAAAGTTAAAATTTTTATTTATTTAATTAAAAATTACAAACAATTTTAATTTTATATAAAAGGCTTTAATAAATTTTATTTGAATTGCATGTTTTGGAATACCTTAATCTTGAGTTAAATTTAGCATAAAATTGCTACCAATATATATTTTAATAATAAGACCTTCAGTAATATTTATCTGATTTGGTTATATTATTGATAAAATTTCAGTTAGACTTAAAATTTAATACAAAAATTATAACATTTGATGTTATTTATTATATTTATTGTTTAAAATCATTTAAGCTGTTTTACGAAAATTAAAATAACATTCAAATTAAATAATAGAAATCATTCAAAAAATAATAAAATCATCTAAATTAATAATAATAATTGTTTGATTGAAAAAAATAAAGATCATTCTACTTGAAATAACTGCCGAATGGTAATAAGGAAAGATCAACTTTATTAAATTCTTCATACTTTCTACCGGATGTTTCAATATATAATTTAAATCCTGTATCTATATCAAACCGTGTTCCAATTCCATTTATATAGCAATAACCAAGATAAAATTTTGCGTCTAAATACCTTGATTGGCAGATATTTGATATGTTTAAATGCTTTGGTTTCATTCCTTGATACACCACGTCCCAATTCGTAACATTCCCCTAGTTTATACTATCCAACTTTATCGCCTCTTTCTGCTGCTGTTTGTTCCAATAAAAGGCCTTTCGTAAATTCTTTTCTATACCTTCACCCCTTTCATATAAATCACCGAAATTAATTTGTGCGGAAAGCACCCTTTTTTATCGATAGTTCACACAAATAAAATTCATTGACGGACTCTACTCTAATCCATTCCTATGCTGATAATACATGGATAAATAATTCATTGTCGGTTCACATCCATTATTTGTGGCTTCTCGAATGCTTTTTTTGTTAAATCCTTTACTATTCCTTCGCCTTATTCATATAGATTACCAAGGTTTATTTTTCCCTAATCCATATTCACTATCAGAGGCTTGCTGATACCAATAAAAGGCCTTTTCTAAATTCCGTCTCTTAACCTTTTTGACATGAAGAACCGGGGAACTTTTGTGAATAACCATTATCTTCTGTTCGAGCGAACCCCAAAAAATGTTTTTCTAAATTCTTTCTGCTTCTTTACCCTTTCTATATAAATGTGCAAGTTCATATTATGCGACTTGTCTTCAAGTTCTGGGCAAGAAAAAGGTTTCAATATCCTTTGGATAATTACAGAAGCCGATAATAGGGTTTGAAAGGTTGAAAGGTAAAATGGGTTATTAAGTTCAAAAACTTTATTTATTTACATAATGACTAAATTACATCTTAAATTACAGGTGTCAATGAAGTTGGAGTAACTAGATCTGCATTCCGGGTCCTCAACTCCTAAATGCAAATATATTTTTTATCACAGTAATGCCCCTAAGGAGAGGATAAGTTGGCGCCCCTCCATCTTTTATAAGAACGACCATGAATTGAGTTCCTACTAGCTTTGTTATACCAATCAGCAGCCATTTTCGAATCTTCTTGAACACCAATTCCTTTTGCGTAAAAATAACCAACTTCCAGTTGTCCCGCTGTAAAATCTTCATTAGCAACTTTTTCAAAAGATTTGAAAGCTAATATTTCGTTTTTAACCGTTCCAATTCCATGATGATGACATATTCCAACATAATATCCTGCTAGTATGTGACCTTGTTCCGACGCATTAGAAAATAAGTTAAATGCTTTATCATGATCTTCATCTGTTTCAATTCCTAAACAGTTAAAATATCCCAATAAAAAAACATTGTTCGTGTTGTTTTGATCATTTAAAACTGTGGTATAAATTTTTTTAATTTTGCTAATAGTAAAATGATTTAGCAAAGCATTCTTTTGTTCATCTCCAAATTTTACTTCGTTTGTAATTTTGCTGATCACGTCTATCGTTTCACCAATTAACGTCACCAAACTTTTTTTATGAAAAATGTTTAAGAAGCTTTTAAAAGATTTTCTTCTTGGTTTTTTTATTGGTTGTTCTTGTGATGAGTCATTACTTGAGTCATTATTTGAATCCTGTTGTCCATCTGATTCTATCGTTGCGTTAAAATTCTGATCGGATTGGGATATATCTTCTTGCACTATGATATTAACAGAATCCTGATGTCCATTTGATTTTATCGTTGCAGGTTCGGTTGACTCTTTAGTAAAATTCAGATCGGATTGTGATAGATCTTCTTGCAATGTATCATTATTAATATTAACCGAATCCCGATGCCAGTCTGATTTTATTGTTGTGTATTCAGTCGAATCTTCCGTGTCAAAACTTTGAATGGATTGCGATAAATCTCGTGGTGTATCATTATTGAAAGATGCGACCAATTCATCTGTATCCATATCACCAAAACCTTGTATTATCCGGGATAATTCACCATGTAATGAATCGTCATTACTACTAATTGAAGCAAAAGAATTGGTCGATAGTTCCAAAGACTTTTCCGGTTCAGTTGTAGAAGAATACATCTTATAAAAGTACTGTAGCATAAAAAATAACTTGTCAGAAATAATGCCAAGGTTAAAATTAAGACCTGGATCACTGATTTGATGATTTGAAGCCTTTACTATTTCTTTCAATCTTGTTACTACTTGCTCCATATCTGGTCGATTATTTGGTTCACCATCCCAACACTCTAATATAAATATTAAAATCGTTAATAAATTAGAATTAGATATAGCAAATCATATGATCAATCACGTGAAACTAAAAATCAGATACCTTTATAAAGCTCCACATAATCAGGTGGCGTATTTGTAACGACTTGTTCTCGAAGGCCTTGTAAAATTCTTATGGCCAAACAAAAATCATAGGATTCTCCTTCGGTAACGAAGGGTGGTCGACCACTTGAGATTTCCCATAAAAGGACACCGACACTATATACATCACTCTTTTTATTTAATGTATATTGATGCGAAGTGTTGATACCTTTTTGATTATCAAATCTTTTCGGGTCCATATAAGGAATTATTCCGAAAAGTTTAGAATGTTTAGATTGGATCCTAGACGATTCATCAAGTCTTTTTGATAGTCCAAAATCCGCTAATTTTATGTTATTTTGATGAACCAATACGTTGTTGGAATGCTAATGTAAAAGAAGAAAAGATCCAGATAAATAATACATACTCTAAATTACAAAAGTAATCATTCAACTTTCAATTATTTCTTACAAGGTCGCGATGCACGATCCCTTCATCATGTAAACATCGAATTGCACAAGTTAACTGGCCTGCCAGATTCAATTTATCGTCCCATGTAAGCTTATTAAAATTTTTCTTTAAATAGTTCCTGAGAGTACCCTCGCTAGCATATTCCATAACTAACAAGTATTTTATATTCGTGTCATTTTGATTTTCTATTAAAATGAAACGGAAGATTTAAGATCTTAATCTTGGTAAAAAAAAAAAAACAAATTCTCAACCTGATTTTCCTAGAAATTGCTTGGAAATCATATAATCTAAATGAATGAATGAATACCTGACTCTGATCTTGTGATTCCATGGAATCGAATAACGTTATTGTGAAAATCGACGGTACGTTGAAGCTTAAGCTAAATTTATAATTAGAAATAAATAATAATAATAACAAATGAAAATACATGGTGCGTTATACTCGAAAGTTACCTCATGAACGATTTCTTTCCAGGTAGTATCGTCGAAGTTGAAGAACGATTTTAATGCTAAATATTGTTCGGAACTTTTCCAGTTCGCTCGATATACTCTTCCGAATCCCCCGGAACCAATTTCTTTAATGTTGTGAAATTTTTCGTACTCATAGTATTTAATATATTCTTCCGAAATGGCAACGTCAAGCCAATTAATTGATTCATTTTTATTATTCTTATGTTGCATTACAAACAGGAAAAGAGAAAAGAAACGGGAAAACAAAAAAATTTGAATTTTTAAACAGGTATGTTTTCATTTTTCATTTCCTTATTTGTAGTTATGTATCTCAAAGTAATTTCATGGCGTGACCGTGAGTCGTGAGTACACTGCATCCTGAGTAACGTTAAGTAACTTTTCGAGATTCCATTTAAAAATAAAGTTTAATATTATTTAAAAAAAAAAAATCTCCATTATTTTCGGACCGGTCAGTCGTTTACTTTTCAAGATAAATTCGCCGATCACTTCTAAAAATGAATCTTTTACTTAAATTTACCTTTCCCGATTTGTAGAAAATTTTGATTATATTATATTCAGAGTTTAAAAGCATTAGCGGAACTTTTGTAACTTCCTTATCTAATCATCGTTTAATAATTCTTTAAAAAATTAAAAAGTTGTTGAAACAACACTGGAAAAAACATTAATTGTTTTTTAAAATTGTTTTTTAAAAAATTTTCATTCATTCGAAACCGTATTTTTATTTTAATTTATTATTTACGATATTATAAAATGAAAAATGAATTCAAATGAGTGGATTGAAGAAGCATTGTTAAAAAGGTTATCAAATATTACTTATTTTAGCAACTTTTGGGAAATTGGAAAAGTCTATCACGAAAATTGGAAAAATTCAAAGCAATCCCTCGCATCAAAATCTTAACGACGCCGCGATCAAAGGAAATCAATCGTTCATTAGGTGATAAATTATAACATAAAATGTATTACGTTCAATTCAAATTTTGGCTTGATTATAATTTTAGCTTAAACTTCAAACGTGAGGTTGATTTTCATAATAATTTATAGGATTACCGCTACTGATCAAGGTGCGTATATCGACATAAAAATTTAGTTCTTTTAATTAGACAATCAAAATGATCGGTTGAAAAATTTTTGCTAATGATAGAATATCTGGAATGACATTTAATTTGGTGTTTCGGCATATCATGCCTGAACGATGAAGACATTATGCATCGTGATTTGGTAATATAACTATTCGTTTTTATACGCGTTATCCTATTAATTACCATAAAAAATATTGATTTATTTGATTAAATGATAGCATTCCAACAAAATATTGGTTCATCAAGGCAATATTAAATGGAGTAATCCCTTATATCGACCCAAAAAGGTTTGACAAACTAAGAAAAGATAAAAAATCGAACGATACACTATAAATGAAAAGAATGATGTTTACAGTGTTGGTATACTTTTGAGGAGAGCTGTCATCCTCATTTTTATGTTGAAAGTGAACAATATGGTGTTGAATTTGCTAAATTAGAAGAAATTATATCAGAAATAAATGTAATAGAAAATAACCAAACAAATGTTCAACCATTTTCAAATGAACAGAAATTTATACCATTAGGCTTCCCAACATATTATTATTTAAAAAAAAAAATAATAGTGAAAAATTATATTTTATTAATAATTTTATTAAAAAATTGTAATTAATCTAAAATTGTCAAGTCGAAACTAAATAAATCTATAAAATTGTCAAAAGTCGAAACTAAATAAATCAATAAAATCGTCAAAAGTCGAAACTATAATAAATCTATAGAATCGTCAAAAGTCAAAACTATAATAAACCTAATAGAATCGTCAAAAGTCGAAACTATATATTAAAAATCCCGTCGAAAGTCGAAATCAAAAACATAAGGGTTTGACTTTTCCATTTATTAAATGAATTTTAAAAATTTAATAAATATCTAACCTCTAAAATATCTAGAGTAATAAAACCAACATTCATAACCATCAACAATCAGTGTAACCATTTCAATAATAACAATTATCACAAGTTATTTGTAAATTTTTTTTTTTAACATTTTTATTGTTGCCTTTTTATACTTTTGGAAAGTTATCAACAGGAATTTAAAAAATTAATTTGTTGATTTTTTTTCCAGTTTCACAAATTCCAAATAATTCTCGATCCTATTTGTTGAGCTCAATAATCGACGCAAGGACCGATGATAAATTTGTATTACACCTTTTACTTTGTTTTTGTAATACCGAAATTGTACTTTCTTATATCAATCAATTCCATATTCCGTTATATATTGTTTAACTTGTAAACTTGTGAAGTAAGTTCTAAATCCAGCAAAAATTTTAAATTTCTTCTTTTTGCATGTCCTCGATTTCATTCTACAAACTCATTGTTTGAAAATGAGGTTATAATGCCGAAAATGTATGAATGTCCATATGATTTCTTACAACCAAGTAATTTTTGTTGTTCTTCTTCAACAATTTACGATCCTTTTTGACTTTATGCGATGATGAAAAAAAAAAATTCTAATTTAGAATTTTCTAATCTTTCAACTTTTACATTCGTCTGATCAATAATTCGAGATAATTCTACATGTATCAACTACTTGGGACGATTTATCTTAGTCATTCTCCCTAAAAACATAAATTTTTTTAATTGTTAAATAAAATATTATTATTTATGTTATTGCAATTATAATTTATGATTAAATTTATGATAATATATTTACCAGGGAAAATGTTTACATAATCTTCAGGTGTATCAAGAATAAATAAGACATTGTGAAATTTCTATAGCTAAACCAATGTCATATTGTTCACCCCAATATTAAAAAGGAGGACGACCCTTTGATGTCTCTCATAAGTGAACGCCGATATGTCAACATATATTTTGTTGCCAAATGTTGAGTTTATTAAAATTTTTCTAGTGTGAATTACACCAAAAAATTTTTTATGGTTGTTTGGTTGCTTCAAACCTCTTCGATAACCCAAAAACATCTAGTTTATTAATACCTTAAAGAATTAATATATGTTTCGGAATTAATTATTAACAGCGAATAAAAAAATATATATACCAAATCATGTTGCGCAATTCCTTCATCCGGAATGACAAGTTGCATTTTCTCCACAAATAAGCTTATCAAATTGATCATTTTGATTTTCTATTTATTATTTTTTTGAAAAAAAGAGTTAACAATAAAATTAATATATATCTTTGAATAATATACTTCGTTATGAAGATTTATATTTTTGAGAGAAGTATGAAATTAACTACACAAGTTAATTTCTTATAATTATAATTTTTTGACTTGAAGTTATACTAAATAGACCGAAATAGATCGAAATATAATGTATTTCATAATTACCTCACGAAAAAAATACTTTTGCAGTGGCATTAAAGTTAGTTTGAATGCAAGATGGTAATAAAAAAAAAAGTGGGAACAATGTAACGTTAATCAAATTTCTAAGCCGCCATAATTAAGATCTACAAATATACAAATTATTTTTCTAAATCGATTGGCTATCATTATTCATATAATTCGGTTAAAACGATTGCTTTTTATTAGGATAGTTATTTTCTAACAGAATGAATTAATTGGATAAAACAAAAAAGTCTCATCTAAATGGATTTCAAACTTGTGAGATAATTATTAAATAACATTAATTTCTTTGATTTATGAATTCAAATTTCAAATCTCAAAAATAAAACACCCCATAAATAAGAACCTTCGGCTTTAACAATCAACATTGGAAGATGCGTTGTATAATAGGAGGAACAAGGAGAATTATCAACTATTAATCCAAATTACAAATATTTAATTGAACACTTTTATTGATTTTGAATCATTTAAATTATTTATTTGTGAATGAAAAAGAAACGGATATAATACATATAATTCTAAAAACACCACCTAAATTTCCTAAATGACCTAAAATGCAGAATATAAACTAATTAAAGTTCTTTAATTAAAATTTGACCTTATAATATTTACCCTAAAAACAATTAAAGTGTAAACCTTTCCTGATCGCTTTCTTTGTTCATGATCTTACAAATTTTTCTAGTTTATTTTGACCTTAATGAGAGTATTTTTCATTCAAAAAATTGCTTGTTCTATATCTTTCACGACTCTCATATAAAGTTCCAAGGTTACACTGGGCGATCACATTTTCTACCATGTTCCCAATTGCACAATTGATAACATAATCCAAAATAAAATTGTGTTAGAACATGATTTTTTGCTTTTCTAATAACCAATTGACAAGTTCTTGTAAATCAATATTTTGTTTATTAAGATAATCAAAAACAGGTTGTTTAATATTTCTTTGTTTAATTCCTTCATTTTTCTCTTTAAAAATAAAATTAACAATAGTTGTATTTAAACTTGATTTGTAATAATTTATTTAACTTATCAACTACTCAATTCATAGCTGAATGTTTATCTGGCTCATTATCCCAACACTATTAAAAAAAAAAATATTAATGATTAAATCTTATTTATCAGTATAAATTTTTACATAATCTTTAATCTTACAATACTAATGACTGAAAATTAGTATTAATGCAAGATTAACAAAGGATTTAGCTTTAAATTTTATAACTCAAGATTTATAGAGAGCTTTAAAAGGTTTATATGATTAATGTATATTTCAAATATCAAATTATAATTTATGGGTTAAGTAATTTAGAGTTTTATTAAAAAAAAGGATTATTATAAGTATATTTATTTGCATACAAGTGTATTTAGTAATTATCTTGTTGGCGATAAAACTAAGTAAATTCTCTATCATTAATGAAGTTCTAAAGCTACCCTATTTATAAGAAAAGTAATAATATAAATAAATACAATAAAAAATATAAAACTATGTAATTGATTATTAATATAAATAATTATTAAAGAAAAGAAAGTTCCAGCGTCTTCTAGGACTTCACGTAACATTAACTTTTATCATATCTGACTTTTACTACTTATTCACTATAACTGAAGTAATTAATATTTCACGCAGATTTGACATTTCCAAATATTTGCCAGAATCAGCAAATATGATAAATATAGCGTAGTAATCTCATGTGACTATAATTCATCATATGATTTGTAGTTATTTCTTCTATTATAATATTAGGAATGATCATTTCTCTATAACTATGTGAAATTTTATTAGCTCAACTAATATCATATTATCCATCTTTAACATGAAAAGAAGGATAATCACTTGATATCCCTATAAAAGAATACTAATATTATAAATATCATTCTTTTTGATTAATGTATATTGCTGCCACTCTTTATTTGTCTATTAAAATTTTTTGGATATAAGAAATTTTTCCAAAAACTTTTGATGTTATTTAGCTGCTAGCTTAATAATTATACATATTATGGTAATTGTTTTACCAAAAACATAATACAAAACTTGAAAAATATAATATGAAATATAAGTACATAATTACGTTATCATGCGATTTATAATTTTACCAGAATTAAGAATATAAGTTAAATTTTAACGAATTTTAATTTAATGTAAATGTTTAATATATAATAATAATTTTCTGTAATAAAAGATTGTAGAAAATTACCATATATACAATTTTACTTAGTATTATAAGTCATATTTAATTATTAAAATCTTGTAATATTTTAAAGTTATTGATAATTTTACTAAATATTTAAAATAATAGCAAATCTAACTTAATTAATATAAGAGCTTTGCAATAGAAAAGGAGGAAACTCTAAAAAAAATTAAAATTTTACTTTCTAAACTAATTATGATTTTTTTTTGTAAAATAAGTTTAGATTTAACATTAACTCAAAAAAAAAATTTTTTAGAGTTTTCTTCCTTTTTATTGCAAAACTCCCATATAGTTTTATGTATTAATTAAAAATGTAGAAAATCGAAAAATACATAACTTTTATTAATAATAAAATATTAAAATACTTATTACAATTTTTTTTTTTGATGTAACTCTGCCACCTATTTTATTAAAATTTATAGATTTTTCCAAAGAAAATAAAGAAATTACATGTAGTAAAAAAATAAAACAAAATAAAAACTATCTAATAATCTAGACTAAATGTTAACTACTTCTTGTTAATAGAATATATAAACATATCTATCTGTTTATGTCGACCTATCATCATCAATTCTCTCCTTTAAATCTAAAGGAACTAGCTCAATAATTACTAAATTCATCAAGAAAAGAAAAAGAACATGTCAGAACTGGTTTAAAAATCTGTCCACTTATATCTATATATAAGGGCAAGTTGAATCTATAACTCCCAAGTATTAGTTGAAGTGATACTATTATCATAAGACAAATGTTTACATTTCTTCTTCATATTTTTTATGTCAGAAGTGATATGTTTCGATAATTCTTTAGCACTCATAAGAGAGCAGTGATATGACCAAATTTTATTGAATAGTCATTCATAAAGAGTAACGAGTGCTTTTGTAAGAATCCTATTTGTTTTCTTAAATGA